CTCCTCCCAGGAAGGTCAGACTTGCTTCCCACACGCCCTCTCTGGAAGAATTTGCTCCACCAAAATGACTCCCTCTAAGTCAGAAGCAGAGCCTTGCAGGACCCCACGGCCAGGCTGGCAGGAGAAGGGTACCAGAGGCCTGGGGCCCCTCAGACCAGGGGAGAGCCATTCCTGCAGACAGAAGAGCAGGGGAGAGCCATTCCTGCAGACAGAAGACCAGGGGAGAGCCATTCCTGCAGACAGAAGACCAGGGGAGAGCCATTCCTGCAGACAGAAGACCAGGGGAGAGCCATTCCTGCAGACAGAAGACCAGGGGAGAGCCATTCCTGCAGACAGAAGAGCAGGGAGCCCGTGTGTTTACATGACTGGGGGAGAATTTGACATGGATTTAGTGTTAAGTGTGCAGAAAACGAAGCAAATGGAAAAAGAAGAGCATTATTAGCTCCAGGGAAACAAAATGTTGATGCAGGCAAAGGAAAAAAAGAATGTATTCTGGGTTCAGCTTTGAGGAATTTACAACATCGATCTGGCAGAAACGGCATTATTCTTGTACTGGGCCGGTGGGGCAGGGGGCAGGCATGCAGGGGTGAGGCAGAAAGGCGCCGGAGCCTCCCCCTCCAAGGCAGAAGCCCGTTGATAAAGCTGCAGACTGGAAAAGCAAGAAGCAATGTGTACTCAGAGATATGGAAGAAAAATACCACGCTTATCAGGAGAAGGAGATGAAGACATTTGCCTCTGTGAAGCTGAAAGTGCGGGGAGGGGCAGCGAGGGTGTGGGTGGCACGCCAGCCTGGCACAACCTGCATATGGCGTGCCTCTGACAGTTCCTCACATGCCTGTATAATGGCCTTGGGGCAGCCTCACAAACGACCACAAACCAGGGGGCTCCAAGTGACAGAAATCTGTTCTCTCCCAGCTCTTACGGCCAGAAATCCAAAATCAAGGTGCTGGCGGGGCTGTGCTCCCTCTCGAGCCTCCATGGGGATCCTTCCTGCCTCTTCCCGTTTCCAGGGCCCCAGGCGTCCTTGAAGGCGGCTCCATCACTCCAGTCTCTGCTCAGTCTTCACATGGCCCCTCCCTTCTCTGTGTCTCTCTGTGTGTTTCTTCTAAGGACACCTGTCATTGGATTTAGGACCTGTCCAGATTTTCCTCATCTCAAGATGCTTAATTCAGTTACATCTGCAAAGCTCTTTGTCCGTGTAAGATCACACTCACTGGGTCTGGGGGTCAGATTGTGGTCATATTTGGAGGGACAGCGTTCAGTCTGCTCTAATAATCTTGATAAAAACTAAAGATCTATTACTTAGATTCCCTGCACAGCATCCCTGCCAGATGGCCCTTCCTCCTGCTTGATTGCCTCCGGAGACGGGAGGCTCACTGTGGTGCATTAGCAGACTGCTTGGTCGGAAGCCTATCTTTACGGTGAGCTAAACCTGCTCCCCAGAGACCTCAGCCTATCAGCTCTGGGCTGGCCCCTGTATCCCTCTACCCCCACCATCCCTGCTGCAGCTTCCTCCGTATCTCCCACCTGGCACATCCTCCCCTGAGCTCCTGCCCTCTACATGCCCTGCTGCCCCCCCAATTTCCAACATTGGCGCTGCTCTCCGAAGCCTGGGGGTCAGCATGGAGCCCTGTCCACATCCACTCCATCATCAGGCCCAATGCTCTCTTCCTCTCTGCACCCCACAGGCACCGAGAGCTAAAGCCTAACTCAGATTCCACTCCTTCTTAGCCCTCCGTGGCCTCCCAGCCCCCCACCATGGTCCAGAGCACCATGTCCAACAGAACCACCAGTGGTGCTGGAATGTTTTGTGTCTGACAAGACACGTGGCTATTTACCATTTGAAAAGCAATCAGTGTGACGGGAGAACCAGATTTTTAAACTGTACTTTGTTTTAATTCATTTAAATTTGAGCTGAAGGAACCATATGCTACTGGAGGCTCCCCCAGGGGACAGTGCAGGTCTGGGAGGGCTCCACGACCTCTCCTGGGAGCATCCCACCCCACCGGCCCTGCACATCCACCACACTGACTGTTCCCCACCCCCCAACCTCCTCATTGCTGGGCCTGTCCTCTCACCCAAGCAAGGAATCCCCGTCCCAGGTGGCACCTAGCCGGGCTGTCCCCCTCTGTTCTCAGCTCTCAGCTAAATGCCACCTCAAAGACACCATCGCTGGACCGCCTCTGTTCCCAGGCAAGCTCTATTCCCATACACTCACAACAAGTGAGAAATTTCTAGCTGAAGTCTGATGTTGGCCTGTCCATCAGCTGTTTCCTCCCGTGGAATGTGTGTGTTCTAAGGCTTGGAGCAGGACTTGGTGGCTCATGCTGAAAGCTGCCTCCCTGACACTCAGCAAGGATCCAATACGGGGTTGTTGAATAATGAACGGACCAGTGAATGAATGAGTGTTTGAAAGAGCTCAGGAGATCCCCATGGACAGGTGAAGTCTGCACGCAGGAAAAGCAAGTCGTAACTGACACCGTGAGGCTCTGAAGGAGGGGACGGTGGGTGTGCGGGCAGAAGGTCTTCTCGGGAGGGAGATGGGGAGGGCAGCGTCGCCCCCTGCACCAGCGCCAAGAGGAGGGGAGGGGTGCAAACAGAGGGTGGATGAAGGTGGGCTTGTGTCCCTGGCGGAGGGCTCACCCACCAGGGGCGGGCACAAGGCCAGGGAGAGGGGCCTGGAGTTGGGGAACAGGGGGAAAGTGGGAACTGGTCCTTTTGAGACAGGAAGAACAAAAGATGGAGCTACGCAGGCAGGGTGGGGCTTGTGCTTGGGGGTGGGGCTTGGGGCAGGGGCGGGGCTTGGGCTTGGGGGTGGGGCTTGGGCTTGGGGCAGGGTTTAGGTTTGGGGCAGGGTTTGGGCAGAGTTTGACTCAGTGGTAGAAGGAGCTCTCAGCTCATCCAAACCCACCCACACATCCCTGATCCCAACACCCACACATCCTCAAGGTGTGAACCAGCCATGTCAAGAAAAATTACACACCCAGAAAAATTAGAAGAAAAATGACATTGGAAATTGACTATATACCCACTTCTAGAGAGTATGGGAGCTTTTCAGGTTAGAGGTAATAGAAGACACAGCAAAGGAAAAATTGATTATTTGAGATTCATAAAAGTGAACAATGATATTATGTCAAAAATAAACTCTAACTGAAATGAAAACCAGTATTCCATTCCAAGCAACGAAAAAATGCATAATGAAAACTTTAGATAAATATAGGTGCAGACCAATATTTCCCTATGTTTATCCATCTGAGATAGCACTCTCTCAAATAGAGAGGAGAAGTAACATCTTTTGACACAAAGATGTTAATTGTGGCATTTTATATCATATGAAAATATTGGAAATAATATGAATGTTCAGCCACAGAGGGAAAGTTATGCAGTAAGTAGGATGAATTCTCACAATCAAATGGGAATCAATAAAAATTACTCTTAGGCAGACGCTTTAACGACATGGTGGGAAGTACAGGGTGTGGATGGAAGTCACGCCACAGGAAGAAGCCTCTGGGTGTAGTGAAGAACAGAAAGGAGGCTGACTAGGATTACAGCGGGGCTTACACGCACCTGAGCAACTCTGGGCACTCTCTCCCCAGTTTTGATTTTCAAACACTTCTTAATGACTATATACTCATGTGTACTAAAAACAATTGCCTGTGTTTTTAAGGGAAGAAGAACCCAGGCCGAGTGGTCTCTGCTTGCTCACTTTGATGGCATGACTTAGGGTCATAAACGATCATGCAGAACCAAGCCCGAGCGAGCAGGCCTCCACATGGTCAGCCCTTCTGTCTCGGTGAGCCGGGAACATGTCCTAAGTCCCTCGGTGAGCCCAGAGGGATGCTCCCCAGACCTCAACCCCACTGCCAAAAAGGCAAACCTGGGGGACTCGGAGATGCGAATCCCCAAGAGGAGATCAGTGGGGTCCAGTCTTGAGTGTGTGTTTCATCTTTTCTCCTGGTCTGCTGCTTCTCCCCACTGCACAGTCAGCTTCGGGAGGGTTCTCAGTGGAGACCCCAGCGCCCAGAGCAGGCCTGGCCCAGACCAGGCTCTCAGAACACACGTCCGAGCACGTGGTCATGGTGCGGCAGGGCCACGTCCTCCGGCCTCCAGGAAAGGGGCCCCGCCTTCTCACCTCTCTCCAGGGATGTCCCTGGTGGCTCACTGGTAAAGAACCTGCCTGCAATGCGGGAGACCCAGGTTCAATTCCTGGGTCGGGAACATACCCTGGAGAAGGACAGGGCAAACTACTCCAGGATTCTTGCCTGGGAAATCCCATGCAGACCATGGGGTCACAGAGAGTCAGACACAACTGAGCATGGGGTGTCACTAGGGCGCCAGATTCAGCACACAGAAGCCCAAGAGGCCCGCTGAAGTCTGAATTTCAGAGACACAGTGAATTAGTGTTTAAGTATGCCCCGTGTAATGTTTGGGATGTAGTTTTAAAGGTATTCGTTGAGTTTCTAAAACTCAAAATTAAAGGGCCATCTTGCATCTTATCTGGAGACACTGCTCCCACCCGGCAGGCCAGACTCTGCGGTCCTGTCCCACGAGGCCCAAAGCCTTGGGGAGCCAGGCCTCAAGCGGGGTTCTAACGGCCCTGCTGCCCTGGTGCAGGGGCCTCACAGCAGAGGAGGCCTTAGATGCAGGTGTGGAAGGCCGGGCTCCCCGGGGAAAGCCTGCCCACGGCTCCTGGGTCCCTGGGGAAGGCAGGGTGGGCGGGGGCAGGCCTGCTCCTGCTTCAGACCGGAGGGTCCCCCAGTCTTCTCAGAGATGGGGGCCTGGCTGCACCTGGGCCGGCCCCGGGATTGAGGGCAGTGGGCAGGAGCCCCCGTGCCCTCCAAGGTCAGTCAGGGGTGTTTCGTCTGCCCAATGCCGGGCAGGGCCAGGAGTCTGGGCCCAGGACAGGGCGGGGGCGGGGGGGGGCCATGGGCAGCAGCTCCGCCTTGGGGCACAAGGACCCACCACCACCCACGGGTGAGTCCCCACCATCCCCTGCCTAGGGAGCCAGCGTGTCCCGGGACTGCGGGGCCCTGACCAGGAAGCCCAGCCCCGGAGAGACAGGCTCACATCCCCAGGAGGCGCCAGGCGCTGAGGGAGACGAGGCCCCTCCCTGCCGGCGGGGGCTGCGGGCTCCTTTCCGAGCTGATAAGCAGCTGGCGCGGCCGCTCTGAAGATCTCACAGTCTTCCCTGCAAAGGGCAGTGGGCCGATGGGCACACTTCATCTCCCCATGCAAATTGATTTTCCTTTTCCCGTCTTACTCTTTTCCTTTCAACAATTAGTGGTTGAAGAGGCTGGTTTTAAATCAGGGAAATGAGACTTTGAGGCTCAAAAGCTGACAAAGAGGCTGGTGCTGCCTCCAGGAGTCCGAGCCCTGCACTCTCTCCGCAGGGTACCCCTGCCGCACGGTGGGCACACCGCAGGGCCAGGGACAGAGTGCCCAGCCTCCCTCCCCAGTGGGGCTGGGGTCCCAGGCCAGGAAGCGAGGTGAGGGGTCCTGAGAGGAGGGGGCGAGGATCAAACAGACGTTTCCCCAGGAAATGGGTCAACAGAGATGTACCGTCCTGTCTCTGCGGGGATGGGGGGAGGGGGGCCAGAGAGACACACACTCAGAGTGGAAGACAGACAGACAGACAGACCTGACAGAGGCTGAGCTCCGGGACAGGGGAGGAGAGACGGTGACAGGCAAGGGAGGACACAGAGGAGACTGTCGACTTAAGCGGCTGCGTTCTGGGTGGTTTGCTCAGCAGCAGCAGACAGCAGTAGGGTAGGGGGACCCGAGAGGCCCTGGAGGGACGAGCAGGACTGGCACGTCCACAGCCGACGGAACACACGCTGATGATCCCCTGAAAGCCCCTCTGAGTCGCGAATAACATGCCCGCTAAACACTAAAGCAGCGGTCCTGAGGCAGACAGGCAAGAGGAGGCCGGATGGAGACCCTGAGCACGATGGCCAGCCCATGGGTCCAGGGCTGTCTGAGAGGCACAGAACATTCCAGCAGAAATGGACCCTCCAGCTCGATGCTCCTCGTCCACGGAGCTTCCTGGTCTGGTCACAGTCCCAGCCGAGCAGAGTGAAGGTCAGATTAAAGGGCTGAAGCCCTGTGCCTGCCATCCTCAGCCCTGCCTCCCTGCTGAGGTGGAAAGAACCATGAACCTGACACCCCCTCCCCTGAAAGTCCCCTACGAGCCAGGAAGGGCACATTCTGATGCACCCTCCTAGCCAGGGACCCGGCCTCCTGCCCCTGCCCTCCATGTAGGCACGTCCCCCCAGTGGCCACAGACACAGCCTCACCCCTTATCGAGCAGTCCAGACGCTCGCATTCCTTTCCCACTGCTCACCCACCTATCCACACTCACCTGCCCTGCGAGACCAGCTGGAAGGCCGGTCTCTTCTGGACCCCTTCTCCCCAGCCCCACACCCCTGAGAACCAGAGAGGGAATAGATTTCCCAGCCCACCTCCTGATGCCCAGCTCTCCCTGCCCCTCTGCCTGGGCCCAGCTCAGAGATTGTCATGCACACAAACCTGTTCCTCCCTCCCCACCCTGCTCAGACCCAGAGTAGCGCAGGGTGGGGTGGGACTGGGAGGTGGGTGCCTCTAGCTCCCTCTGCTCATCCCTCCCCAGCCTCCCGAAGGGGCCAGGCTCACTGCACAGGGGTGACCGTCCTGCGCCCCGGTCCTCCAATCCGGCTCTGGGAGGCCAGACCCATTCCCGTATCTGCAGCCGTGCAAATCGGTGAGTAGATGCGCCTTGGGGGACGGGCCAGCCAGACCTGGGATTAATTTCCTGCTTTCACACTCCAGGAAGGTGATGCCCTTGAGTCGATGTCAGAATTTTCTCTCTCCCCTAATTAAACAGAAAGCGTGGCCAGCGAGCGCGTGGGGCAGGGAGGAAGTGAAGAGTTAGAGGCATTGCCTGCAGAGGTCCAGCTGCGCCAGGCTTTTCATTCAGTGTCTGAAAGCTTCCCCGCACGGCTGCTACCCAGAGATAGGGGCAGCACAGCAAACGGCAATTTCGCCCCTGCCCGCCTCTGCCTGCCGCCCCCGCGTGCGAGGGAGGGAGCCGCAGAGTGAGGTCCAGGATGCGAGCCAGGGTGCTCCTCAATGGCCTGCGAGGCCTGGAGGCTGGGGGCCTGGGGGCCGCTGGGCTCTCCCCATCAGCGGCCTGGGCCTAGATGCCCCTGCGGTTCCAGGTTCTGTTTGGAGAAGCCCTTGGAGAGAACTCTGCAGGTGCCGCAACCCCGTGTCCGTATGGGGTCTGCTGCAGCTCTTGTGCGGCTGTTACTGTTTCACAACCAGAGGAGCTGAGGTCAGACCACAGGATGCATTCTTGTTCCCCCTGCGGGCTTGGGCTGGAGCAGGGTCATCAGATCCCAGGGCCAGGCTGGAAATGCCGGGCACCACGTGGACCCCACAGCTCCTGCTTGGGAAGCTGGGAAGTACTCACAGGAAGGGGCTGCCTGGGGAGGGGTGAACCCAGGGCATCCTGTGTCCTACGGAGTCTTGGGACAGGAAGCCAGCAGGTAGAACTCAGATGGAGGTTTCTCTCTCCATAAAGCCCAGGCCCATGTGCAGGCCTTGTGAATGACCTTAGGAATGAAGGGGTCTGGCAGGGCAAGTCTCCCTCCGGTGAGGTCATGAGCATTTCCCACGCCAGCGGGGCACTCCCAAGATGTGGCCCCATCCACCCTGGACTCCGGACAGTTTACTCTTCCCCTGTGTCACTGTCCTCCTGTTTGTATTTTTTGATTGGTACTGGGGATTGGGGCCTGGGCCAAGCACGAGTGTGTAATTCCACAGATAGACTTGCGTTCCAAGCCAGCTGTGGGGATCCGCCGAAACCCCTTCATCCATGTCCCACGTGCCCTGCCGCAGCTAAGGGTCCACGGGCCTCCTGCAGGGAGGAGCGGGTACCCTCTGACACCACACCCAACCACTGCTGCGTGGGGACGGCACCTGAAGGGGCCTGAGCCCGGAACACTCTGTGGGCCGTTTGTCCAGCAGTCTTGACCCTACGGGGAGTCCCGCTGCCCCCCACCCCCAGTTCTCATGCAGCAGACACCGTGCCACTCAGAATCGGGAGGTACCGGGACTCGTGTCAGCTGTGAGGCTGGGACCTCACCCCCTCCGGCGGCTTGTCCCCGTCCTTGCCATCTACCCTCCCTGCACCGGACATGGCTCTGGGCCGGCGACCTCCCCTGTCCTGTCCTGACCCTCACACCCGCCAGCCCTGCTGAGTCTTGTCAACCTCCAGGCCGCTCGTGCGCATCTCCAGCATGAGCTCCACGAAGGCCGGGTGTGCACAGGGCAGGGCTGGTCCACAGAGGCCCTCAGGACACACAGGCTTGGCTGCAGGACACAGGGCATTTGAGGGACGGGTGGTGAGTAACCTGAACTGCCCTGACAGACTCCCCTCAAACCTGGGCTGCCTTCTCCTTGCTGTTGTTTAGTTGCTCAGTCGTGTCCGACTCTCTGTGACCCCCTGGACTGTAGCCCACCAGGACCTTCTGTCCGTGGGATGCCCCAGGCAAGGATACTGGAGAGGGCTGCCATTTCTTTCTCCCTTAATTCTGAATTTTAGAAATTTTAGGAACTCCCTTGACGTTGATGGCTATTTGGGACGGCAAGAACGGGGACCAGGATGAGGACGATAAGAGCCTCCGGAGGAAGCAGGGGGGAAGGTGGTGGAGACGTGCTCTGCGATGCGGCAGGGGGGCGGTTAGCCGGGGCAGGGAGGAGCCGGGCTCTGCTGGTGGGGCTGAGACGGGCTCCCCTGGCTGTGGGGTGGGTGGTGGGGGGCCGGGGTGACCCTTCCCGTTGCACAGCTGCTGGGGTGGCTGCGGAGGCAAGGACAGAGGAGGAGCCTTTGCCGCCCCCAGACGCCACGCTGTGGGGGGCTCGGTCTGCGCCCCTCAGTTGGCCCTGCACGGCCCCCGCCCAGCGTCCTTATCCTACCCGGTGAAGGAGGCAAGAGACTGGTTTGCCCCAGGTCACCCCAATGAGTGGCGACACTGGGACTCCAGCCCGGGCCCCACGGCTCTCTCCTTCTCCACAAGGCTGGATGGGGGTCTGGGGGCTGGCCTGGATCTCTGCAAGCCCACCCCCGCTGCCCAGCCTGCCCCCCACCCCTCTCCAAGAAGCCAGCGAGCCGGGAGGCACAGGGAGTCCCCGGGTCCGGCCGTCCTGCTGCAGGCTGTGTGCTGGTCGCCGTGGCTGCGGCTCGGTAACCACGGTAACCCTGACCTGTGCCCTGGGACTCCCCAGGGGCCAGCGTGGAGCAGGGTGACAGCGGAGCCTGGCGTGCCATCCAAATACCACACGCTTATTAATCTCGCAGCGCGAGGCGCTCTGAAGCCATTACCCCCCTCCCTCCCGATCCTTTGTCCAGGACATAATTGTCAGGCCCACCTCTCTACTTCTGTAATTAATTGCTTTGGGGAAGGCGGCTCGGCAGCTTAACTCCTTCCCTTCTGAGTCTCATCCCAAAATCAGGAGGCCCTCGTGGGCCAGCTCTGTTGCACCCAGGCCTGGGGGCAGGACATGGGGCTCTAGGCCCCGCCCCCACCACTAGCCGTGAGCCTCAGTTTCCCTGGTTCTCCGATACACACAAAGCCCCCGCCCTGGCTCCTGGCTAATTCATCTGCTCTGTTTAATTCAACTCCAAACCTCTTGACAAGGATTAGACACACTCAAGCGTATCTATCACGCTAGTCAGCTTGTAGTGAGGCCTGTATTCATGGAGATGAATATATCAGAGAAGAAGTGCAAAGGGGGAGGTGGGGAGAGGTGTGATAAAAAACAAGTTTTTTTTTTTCTGAGTTGCTGCCTCGGCATCATTAGGACCCTGCTCACAGCAGAGTCAACACTGAGATGAGGACCTGAGCTCACAAGGTCCCCCAAGATGCCCCTCTGCTTTTCCCAGGGCCCCTTTTAAAGTCACCGCTTGGAGTAAGCCTGTGAGGAGTTAGTGACCTCCACCCCAGCCACCTGATTGTGAGTGACAAGGGCTTGCCACCCCGCTGGCTCCTAACCCGGGTGCAGGCCTGGCCCCCCCACCCCCTCGCGGGTTCCCACCCCCTTCTAGGTCTGTACTAAACCCTGTGTCTGCCTCCATCATGGGTTTGTTGAAGCTAAACCTTCCATCAAAACGGTCCCAGGGGCTTACTTCACCCAAGTGGGGGCTGGGACGCAGAGGGCAACCCCTCAATCATCGGGTCAGAATCCACATGTTCTTAATTCAAAGCACCAGCTCCGGCTTCTCAGCACAGAGTTGGGCAGGGGAATACCAGGGGGCAGGTCTGGCCGGGGCCTCCCGGGACAGGGCCCTGCGTGAGGGGGGAAGGGGGCAGGCATTCGGGGGGCTGCGGGCAAGAAGTATAACAGCTGCTAACAACGCCCAGCACGGGTTCGGGGCCTGCGCTCTGCCTGGCACGCTCTGACGTGCTCGTGCTTGGTCAGGCTCTCCCCACGGCACAGCCAGGGGACCCGAGACCCTGCCGGGGAGTCAGCCATCCTGGAGGGACCGCAGTGTCCCAGGCCACTCCCACCAGCGTCCTACCGGCCGCCCCCTTCACGCACACCGGCGTGGCGGATCCCGTCCTGGGCAGCCCGATGGCCTGCCTGACCTCCCAGGCCTCGCAGTGGGGTGGGAGGGGGCTGGACAGGCTTGAGGCCAGGCAGAAGGTCTGCCTGCCCCAGAGGGATGGGGTGCAGGGTGTATGATAAGGGTGGGGAGAGAGAAGGGGCAGAAGGTGACAGGTGTTCTCAGCGCCTCCTCACGTGACCTTGAATGGGACACTGCCCGCCTCTGACTCTCAGCCTTCCGGACTGGGAAATGGGTGGAAGAGTGACAAGGGAAAAGTCAGCCCTCTAGGGGCACTAAGGCTGCGCAGCTCGGGGCCCACAGGCCCGAGTCTGGGTGTGAGGCCCTGGCTAGCATGCGGAAGCTCCGCCTCCACTGGCTGTAGAGTGAGACAGTGACAGACTTGCTCCGGGGACTGCTGGAAGGCGAAAACCGTGTGTGCTCCGTGGGAGGGGCGGCAGTCCAAGGATGCTGAGCGGTGGATTCGTCGTGGCGATGGGAGGCGGTCACGGGCATCCGTGTGTGGGGTTGACCCGAGGAGGCCCAGGATGCTATTACCCAGGTCATCCTTCCCAGGTCGGCCTTGAGCCAACCCCTCCCCCAGCGGCTGGGGGGAAGAGAAGGCCTTGAAGAGTGACTTGCTACTGCCACACTTTGCCCCGAGCACAGATCCTGAGAAGCAATCAGTCTTACATTTATCACAAGTTAATAATAAATGAGTTTCCTTGATCGTTTTGCTGACACTGAGGTCTAACATGTGGTGTCCGTGGCAATAATATATCGCAACAACAGAGAACACCCTGAGTGACAGCTCAGCAGAAAAGACGCCCAGGCGAGTCAGCGTGCCCGCTGGGCTCCTTGGCTGCCTGGGGGAGCCCAGCTCCACGCTGCCGGTCGATCGGGGGCACCGGTTCCAGGAGGACACCTGGAACTTGGGGGTGGGAGAGAGGGGGGCGGGCCTCCAGATCCCAGGGTCCCATCCAGCTCTGCATTCGCTGGCCAGGATCCCAAGCACGCCCACCCCTCAGGGAGCCCGAGCTGCCCTTTCTGTAGCACACAGGCGTTAAGGCAACTGACGGTGAGCAAAGGCTGAAGCCGGCGTGTACAGCCGTGAAGACATGAGCAAGGGGGACGGAACCTGAGGAGCAGCAGTTAGACGGCGTGTGCGCCCAGCGGAAGGGCAGCGGTGGGAGGAAGGGGACCGTGGTGTGGCACGCAGGACTCCTGCACCGCTAAAGCACCTCCGTGGGGCTGGGCGCCCAATCCGGCCCCAGGGGCGTGAATCCCACAGGAGTCCTAGAGGCTGCAGGCCTGGAGGAGGCCCTTCAACGGCCAGGAGTCTGTACCGCTCGGCTCCCAGGGCCACGCTGCGTGGGCAGCAACCAGCAGTGAGCTTGACCCGCCCCCAGGGTCCAGGCCCCGCCCCCAGGTCCCCATGGCACCCTGTCTCTCCAGGAAAAGCCCTCCACCCACTGCTTGCATCCGCTTCCGCTCCAGGTCCCAGGCAATCGTCGCCTCCTCCGGGAAGCGCCCAGGTTCCGTCTGGAGGTCTAGCCTCCCAGGGACGCCTGGCGCTGGCCCGTCACAGTAGAGGTGGCCCTGGAGGGGCCTGTGCCACTCTCCTGGTTCCCATCCCCTCCGTCCACTGCCAGAGACATCCTCCGGCAGGAAGTGGGTATCATTCGCTAACATTGTCTATTTTTACTGCATCATTATGCCCCATAAACAATGTATAATGTTCCTTGTAAGTTTAAAACTTCACACAAGCAGCCTGTTGCGCTGTGTACCACACTGCAACAAGGTGTCCGGCGTCTGTGTGCTTTCTGAGAGTTATCAGCATTGATGGTGTCTCCAGCTCAAATAGTTAGTGGCCCTGCAGCAGGCCCTTTACTGACCACACGCAGCCTACATGCCGTCCCCCTGTGGATGGGCGGGTAGGCTGTTTGTGGCGTCACTGCGGGATGCTGCCAGGAACATCCCTCTAAACCTCTCTCTGTGTGTATCTTGAGGAATTTTCTAGAAGCAGCATTGCTAGGTGCAGGCCATAAACACCTTCATCTTCACCGCTATACTTGCTCTCCAGAGTGCGGTGCAAGAGTCCTTTAATGGGCAGTGGGTTAGAAACCCTCTGTCTTATATCCTCGAATCACTTGCTGCCACACACTAGCCTTTGTCAGTTTGCTGGGTATGAAATGATGTCTTTGAATTAACTGCCATTTCCAATGAATAATAGTGAGGCTGAACTTCTTTTCATGTATTTATTTGCCATTTTGTTTCCTCTTTTGTGAGCTGTCAATTTAAAATTCTCTACTGACTTTTCCACAGAGTTTTTCTTATTGACTTGCAAATATGCTTTATGTTCTAGGTACTAATATTCTGTCTATTATATTCATGGAAACCACCTCTTTCCACCAGCAAGGAGTGTAGGGAAGTTTCAGTATTCCTTTTATGTCTGGCTTTTTCCAACAGTATACTCATTGTGAGATTTATCCATACTGTTGCGTGTGTCAAGAACTCACTCCTTATTGCTGAGTTGGATTCCATCGGATAGATGGAATATACAACAATGTGTGTATCTGTTCCTGTGATGATGGACAAATGGGCTATTTCCAGTTTGGGGCTTTTTATAAATAAAACTGCTATTAACTGCATGCTGTCTTTCTTGGACACATGCTGTCTTTTCCTTTGGGGAGACTGACTGGATCACATGGTAAGTGTGTGTTTAACTTTTAGGAAACATCGAATTATTGTAATGAAGTGGTTGTAGCAGTTTGCATCCCCACCAGCAGCATGAGTCCAGTTGCTCCCCGACCTCATCAGCCCTTGCTATGGTCGGTTTTTTTATTGTAACCATTCCAGTGGGTGTGTATATAGATCTCTCTGGTTTTCTAATTTGCAGCTTCCTAAGGACTAAAGGAGTACATCAAGGCTGTATATTGTCACCCTGCTTATTTAATTTATATGCAGAATACATCATGAGACACGCTGGGCTAGAGGAAGCACAAGCTGGATCAAGATTGCTGGGAGAAATATCAATAACCTCAGATATGCAGATGATACCACCCTTATGGCAGAGAGTGAAGAGGAACTAAAAAGCCTCTTGATGAAAGCAAAAGAGGAGAGTGAAGAAGTTGGCTTAAAGCTTAACATTCAGGAAACTAAGATCATGGCATCTGGTTCCATCACCTCATGGGAAATAGATGGGGAGACAGTGGAAACAGTGTCAGACTTTTTTTTGGAGGGGGAGCTCCAAAATCACTGCATATGGTGACTGCAGCCATGAAATTAAAAGACGCTTACTCCTTGGAAGGAAAGTTATGACCAACATAGATAGCATATTAAAAAGCAGAGACATTACTTTGCCAGCAAAGGTCTGTCTGGTCAAGGCTATGGTTTTTCCAGTGGTCATGTATGGATGTGAGAGTTGGACTGTGAAGAAAGCTGAGTGCCGAAAAATTGATGCTTTTGAACTGTGGTGTTGGAGAAGACTCTTGAGAGTCCCCTGGACTGCAAGGAGATCCAACCAGTCCATCCTAAAGCAGATAGTCCTGGGTGTTCATTGGAAGGACTGATGCTGAAGCTGAAACTCCAGTACTTTGGCCATCTAATGTGAAGAGTTGACTCATTGGAAAAGACCCTGATGCTGGGAAAGATTGGGGGCAGGAAGAGAAGGGGACGACAGAGGATGAGATGGTTGGATGGCATCACCAACTCGATGGGCATGAATTTGAGTAAACTCCAGGAGTTGGTGATGGACAGGGAGGCCTGACATGCTGCGATTCATGGGGTCGCAAAGAGTCGGAAACGACTGAGCCACTGAACTGAACTGAAGGACTAATGCTATTAGAGCATCTTTCCAGGTGCTTATTTGCCATCCATGTATCTTTGAACTGCCCATTCAAATATCTTGCCCATTTTTTTTACTAAGTTATTTGTGTTCTTATTACTGAGTTTTGAGAGTTCTTCCTGTATTCTTGTAAAAGCCCTTTGTTATGTATATGATGTAGCGATTGTTTCTTGCAGCCTGAGGATTTCATTTTCATTCCTTTTACAATGTCTTTCAAAGAGCAAGTGTTTAAAATCTTGATACAGTTAAGCTTCGTTTTTTATGTTTTTGCTCTTATGGCTGAGATAGCTTTGCCTAATGTAAGATTTCAAAGATTTTTTTCCCTAAGTTTTCTTTTGTATGGTTTTGCTTTGTATTTAGGACTACCATTTATTTTTAGTTAATTTTTATAAATGATACAACGCATACACTGAGTTTCATTTTTCTTTTTGGCAAATGGTGTTCCAGCACCATTTGTTAAAAAGACCATCCTTTCTCCACTAAGTTGCCTTTGTACATTTGTCTCAAAATCATTAGCCCATATATGAATGGGTCTGTTTTTTGGACAGTCTACTTTGTTCCAGTAATATATTTGTCCAATTTTGTGTCCGTATCATGCTGTCTTAATTACTGTAACTTTTTAATGTCTTGAAATCATAAATGCTAGTAATCCAATATTCTTTTTTGTAAGTAATTTTGCTTACTCTTGAATCATTATATTCCCATAAAGATTTTAGAATATGTTGATCAATTTCATTTTATAAAATTGCTTAGATTTTGACTGAGACTTCACTGAATCTGCAGATGGATTCTGGGACAATTAATACATTAACAATATTGCATCTTCTGTCACATGAACAGAGAATATCTCTCTATTTATTTAGATCTTGTACTTCTTTCAGCAGCGTTTTATAGTTTTTCAATATACAGTTGACCCTTGAACAACACAGGTTTGAACCATGATGGTTCACTGGTATGCAGATGCTTTTCAATAACTCAGTACTACACATTGTAAAACAGTTAGAACTGGACATGGAACAACAGACTGGTTCCAAATAGGAAAAGGAGTACATCAAGGCTGTATATTGTCACCCTGCTTATTTAACTTATATGCAGAGTACATCATGAGAAACGCTGGGCTGGAGGAAGCACAAGCTGGAATCAAGATTGCCGGGAGAAATATCAATAACCTCAGATATGCAGATGACACCACTCTTATGGCAGAAAGTGAAGAAGAACTAAAGGGCCTCTTGATGAAAGTGAAAGAGGAGAGTGAAAAAGTTGGCTTAAAGCTTAACATTCAGGAAACTAAGATCATGGCATCCAGTCCCATCACTTCATGGCAAACAGATGGGGAAACAGTGGAAACAGTAGCTGACTATTTTTCTGGGCTCCAAAATCACTGCATATGGTAACTGCAGCCATGAAATTAAAAGACACTTACTCCTTGAAAGGAAGTTATGACCAACCTAGACAGCATATTAAAAAGCAGAGACATTAACTTTGTCAACAAAGGTCCATCTAGTCAAGGCTTTGGTTTTTCCAGTGGTCATGTATGGATGTGAAAGACTATAAAGAAAGCTGAGCACCAAAGAATTTATGCTTTTGAACTGTGGTGTTGGAGAAGACTCTTGAGAGTCCCTTGGACTGCAAGGAGATCCAACCAGTCCATCCTAAAGGAGATCAGTCCTAGGTGTTCATTGGAAGGACTGATGTTGAAGCTGAAACTCCAATACTCTGGCCACCTGATATGAAGAGCCGACTCATTGGAAAAGACCCTGATGCTGGGAAAGATTGAGGGCAGGAGGAGAAGGGGACGACAGAGGATGAGATGGTTGGATGGCATCACTGACTCAATGGACATGGTTTGGGTGGACTCTGGGAGTTGGTGATGGACGGGGAGGCCTGGCATGTTGCAGTTCATGGGGTCACAAAGAGTCAGACACGACTGAGCGACTGAGCTGACTGACACAATCTGCTTTGGCTGAACCCACAGATAGGGAATCATGGATGCAGAGGACCAACTATAAGGTTGTATGCAGATGTTCAACTGGAGAGGGGTAGCATGTTGTTCAAGGGTCAACTGTGCAGGTCTTTCGAGTTTTCTTTACCAGATTTGTTCCTACATATTTCATAATTTTGATGTCATGATAAACAATATCTTTAAATTCAATTTCCACTTGTTTCTTGTTGCTTAAATAAAAATTCATTTTTGTGTATTGATCTTGTACTCAGAAACATTGCTAAACTCAGTTATTAGTACTAGTAAGTTTTTCTTTATGTAGATATCATTATATCTGCTACCAAGAATTCATGAGTAAAGATAACTTTACTTCTTTCCAGTCTCCATGACCCATTTTTTTTAAAAATCATGCTTTATTGAAGTGATTGGACCTTCTACCACCTTGTTAAATAGAAGTCTTGAAAACAAATGTCATTATATTGTTCTTAATGTTGGGAGAAAACATTCAGTGTTTTATCACTGTTGTGAGTTGTGAGTTGCTCACTGATGATTTTTATCAGGTTGAGGAATTTTCCTTCTATCCTTTACTTGCTGACAGTTTTATCATCACTGGGTGTTGAAGTTTGTTAAATACCACTGGGATGATCATATGTTTTGCTTTTAGTTTATTAATATTGTAAATTAAATTAAATGACTTTCAAATGTTAAATCAGTCTTGCATTTCCTGGTGGATAATCTCCACATGACCATGAGTTTTTATTCTTTTATATACTGTTGGATTTGATTTGATACAGTTATGTTTAAAACTTACATATCCATGTACATAAGAGTTATTAGTCTGTAGTTTTGTGGGGGGTTTGCAATATCTTTGTCTGGTTTTGGTATCAGGATAATGCTAGCCTCACAGAAAGAGTTGGGCTGTGATAACAAAATACCAGTGACTGGGTGGCCTACACAATTTATTTCTCAGAGTTCTGGAGGCTAGCCATCCAAGATCAAGGCACCAACTGATTCAGTGTGTAGTGATGGCCCGCTTTTTGGTTCACAGATGGTGCCTTCTCACTGTGTCATCGCATGTCAGAAGGGGGTCCTTGTAAGGACTCTCTATGGAATCTCTAAGGGCACTAACTGCATTCAGGAGGGCTTCACCCTCATGTTGTAATCATTTCCTGAAGACCTCACCCCCAAGGGCTGCCACCTTGGGCATTAGGTTTTAATATGTAAATTTGGGCAAATATTCCGTCCATAGTCAAATGTATTCTCTCCCCTTTAATTTTCTGGAAGGGTTTGTATAGAACTGATATTATTTCTTTCCTAAGTACGTGGTAGAATTCAGCAGTGAAGCCAACAAGAATTCTAGTTCTTTGTAGAGAAGTTCTTAACTCTAAATTCAATTTCTTTAATAAATATAGGGCTATTCTGGCTATCTGTTTCTTCTTGAATAAATTTATGTCTTTCATTCCCAAATTTCAAATGGGAATTTGCCCATTTTATCAAAGTCATCAAACTTATTGGTAAAAGTTGGTTCATGATATTACTTCATTACTGCTTTGATATTCATGGGGTCTTTGGTGAAGTCACCTTTTAAAATCCTGACATAGTAATTTGTTCTTCTCTCATTTTTTTCTAATTAATCTGGTTAGAAGTTTATAAATGTTATTCATCTTTACTAAGAACTAGCTGTTGATTCATTGATTTTCTCTTATGTTTATATTTCTTCTATTTTCAGTCTGATGCTTCTCATTTCATTTCTTCTGCTTATTTTGGGTTTAATTTACTTTTTTCTTTCTAGTCTCTTAAGGTAAAAGCTAAAGACATTAAGTTCAGGCATTTCTTATTTTCTAATGTAGTCAATTATTGCTATAAATTTCCTCCTGAGTACTGCTGGCATCCCCCAGAATTCTTATATGATGAGTTTTCATGTTAATTTGCTTCAAAATACTTTCTAATTTCTCATTTACCTTTGACCCACACATACCTTATATGTATCTTATTTAATTTTTTAATATTTCAGATACATTTCTACTATTTATTTTCAGTTTAATTCCATTGTGGTCTGAGTACAAATTTTATATGACTTGAATCCTTTGAAATGTATTGTGAATTGTTTTATGACCTAGAATGTGGTCTATCTATCTTGATAAATGTTTCACAGAGATCAAATTGCCAACACCCGCTGGATCATTAAAAAACAAGAGAGTTCCAGAAAAACATCTATTTCTGCTTTATTGACTATGCCAAAGCCTTTGACTGTGTGGATCATGATAAACTGTGGAAAATTCTGAAAGAGAAGGGAATACAAGACCACCTGACCTGCCTCCTGAGAAACCTGCATGCAGGTCAGGAAGCAACAGTTAGAACTGGACATGGAACAACAAGCTGGTTCCAAACAGGAAAAGGAGTATGTCAAGGCTGTATATTGTCACCCTGCTTATTTAACTTATGTGCAGAGTACATCATGAGAAACGCTGGGCTGGAAGAAGCACAAGCTGGACTCAAGATTGCTGGGAGAAATATCAATAACCTAAGATATGCAGATGACACCACTCTTATGGCAGAAAGTGAAGAGGAACTAAAGAGCCTCTTAATGAAAGTGAAAGAGGAGAGTGAAAAAATTGACTTAAAGCTCAACATTCAGAAAACCAAGATCATGGTATCCGGTCCCATCACTTCATGGCAAATAGATGGGGAAACAGTGGAAACAGTGGCTGATTTTATTTTGGAGGGCTCCAAAATCACTGCAGATGGTGATTGCAGCCATGAAATTAAAAGATGCTTACTCCTTGGAAGGAAAGTTATGACCAACATAGATAGCATATTAAAAAGCAGAGACATTACTTTGTCAACAAAGGTCTGTCTAGTCAAGGCTATGGTTTTTCCAGTGGTCATGTATGGATGTGAGAGTTGGACTATAAAGAAAGCTAAGCGCCAAAGAATTGATGCTTTTGAGCTGTGGTGTTGGAGAAGACTCTTGAGAGTCCCTTGCCTTGGACTGCAAGGAGATCCAACCAGTCCTTCCTAAAGGAGATCAGTCCGGAGTGTTCATTGGAAGGACTGAAGTTGAAGCTGAAACTCCAATAGTTTGGTCACCTGATGTGAAGAGCTGACTCATTTGAAAAGACCCTGATGCTGGGAAAGATTGAAGGCAGGCAGAGAAGGGACGACAGAGGATGAGATGGTTGGATGGCATCACCAACTCAATGGACATGATTTTGGGTAAACTCTGGGAGTTAGTGATGGACAGGGAGGCCTGGCATGCTGGGGTCCATGGAGTCGCAAAGAGTCAGACTGAGCGACTGAACTGATACCCTTGAAGATACTGTGGATCCCTGCTGTCAGTAATGGAGACTTCTATAAACATCAGTCATGTCGGGTTGGTTGATAGTTCAAGTCTTCTATGTGTTTAGTATTTTGCTGTGAACTTGTTCTATCACTCATTGAGAGAGGCACATTAAAAGTTCCAGCTATAACTGTGACTTTTTCTACTTCTCATTTCAACTCTCAGAAAATTTTTCTTTGTGCATTTTAAAGCTCAGTTACCAGATGCCTAAACACTTAGGGTCATGTCTTCTTGACGACCTGGTCCTTCCATCATCACAACATGACTTCACTTGTTCTTGGTAATACTATTTTCTGAAATCTAGTTTACCTTATATTAAGAAAGCCGCTTCCAATCTGTAAATTAACAGAGCAGTTTTGATCAGGGGGACATAGACCCCCCAGGTACCCTCTCTCTGAATACATTTTCCCAGATACTAACAACTTGCATCCATGTGGTACATTTGTTACACTTCACATATAAAATTGATGCACTAAATATCAAACACAGATACACTAAATATCATTAACAGTAGCCCATCATTGACATTAGGACTCACCGCTGGCCTCTTCCCAGTCCTCCACAGCCCCATCCAAAACCATGACAGTAGTGGGGCATCTGCCCCTCACAGCCCCTCACAAACTCCAGAGCTGGGCTCCACTGAAAACCCCTCTGCCTCCTCCCACCTGCCCAGGTGGCCTCACTGGCCTTATTTGTCTGTCCGCTGCTGCTTTGGCAGGTGGGGAGGAGGGGGTGCAGGGGCAGCCCCGGCTCCAAGCCTAGGGGCAGGCCCTGACCTGAGTCCCGCCGAGACTTCAGTGCCATCCACCTGTGGGGACCGAGCACCCTGCCCCTGCTGCCTGGCTTTGAACCGAGCCCAGTACACCCGCGGCTTCACTTCTGATCATTGCTTAGCATTTTCTTCCTATAAGAAATTTAACTTACGTCTTTGGCTGCCACCTAGAAGCCAGCATGCGTGGCCCACAGGGACCATCCCTGCCCATCTCCCGCCCCTCCCTAGCTCCTCCCAAGGCCCCTCACCAGCTGAACCCACCCCAACCTCGCACCTTGCCTGTGCCCGTGCTCTAGTCACAACCCCACCTCCACTCCAGCTCTTATGCCTTGGGTGGGTATCACCTCCTCCAGGAAGCCCCCCCGGATGTCCACAGGGCTCAGTTCACTGTCCACACTTGGACCACGGCTGCTCTTCTTCTGTCTCCCTTGGCTGGCAGGCGGGGGTGCCTTCTTCATGGCTGGGTGTCTGGCCCCAGCACAGCCTCAGCACGGAGCAGACACTTCATAAGTGACATGAAAAACTTCATGACATCCCTCAGCAGGGGCTGTCGGGACAAGACCCTGCCTGACTTTCAGTGGCCCCCAGCACAGAGCCTCACAGGCGCCCCTCAATGCGAGGTCCCCTCATGTCTCCTGTCTGTGTTTTCCCGTTCCCCTGGGAGGGGTAACTGAAACAGCAGCCTCCACAATCCTACCTGGACACCCAGGGGGCATCAGAGCAGAATCCTGGGTGGTCCAGCTTCAGCTCACCCGGGCAGCGGAGGGCTCGCCCCAGGAGCAGAAGGGAGACACAGGTCCTGAACAAGGGACAGGCTGGATCAGGGCGAGGCTGTGCCAGAGGCCAAGATGTCCAGTGAGCCTAGCACAGCCATGGCCCCTGTGCCCTGGATGCGGTCAGCAGACACACCCCTGGATGGGCACTCCGTGCACTGGGGCCTCTCTCCAGCCAGGGGCAGGGTGAGTGCCCCTGTCCTCCAGACCCTCACGGGGAGAGGTAAGTAAAAAGGAGAGGGTGACCTTCAGAAAGAGATGGGAGAAGGTGGGGGGTCTCATCGGCACAGGCTAGTGGTGGGGCACGAGGGTGTCAGCAAGTGTTCTTTCTGCTGAGACCCTGTAGGTGAGGAGCAGTATGCAGAGCTCCAAGGACGAGCATCCCAAAGCCCTGGAGGCGCGTGAGCTCCGTGGGCCGAGGGGACAGGCTGAGGCGGCCGAAGCACAGAGGAGGGCCATGGACGCAAGGCAGGGTCTGCTGTAGGGGTCCAGGGGGCCCTGCGGAGTGAGGGGGTGTGGCGCACCTTGGGCCCCTGGACGGTTCAGAAACCTGCAATGAGGCCATTAAGTCCGAGGTGCCACGTGGGCCTCCAAGAGTGGCCGGGACTGCGGAAGATTCGGAGTGCAGTGAGAGGGAGCATGCCAAGGGGGACACCAGGTCTGATCCCAACCTGAGTGCCCGGCTGCATGTCCTGGTGGGCGGACGGGCCGGGAGGGCAGGGGCAGGAGCTGGGAGGGGAGACGCGTCAGGAACTCTCCACCGACGCTGTCCAGACGGGAAGCAGACCGCGTAGGCAGGGGCAGGTACAGAGGGCTGTGGGGGTGCATTCGGGGCCACACTTGGCAAGCGACCAAAGCCACTGGAAGCCTGGGGAGGGTGAGAGGATGCAGTGTAGTCCGAGCCTGGAGACCCTTTTCTGCCCGAGCCTGGGTCGGCTTTGCTGAGACGTTCGCCCCCTCGCTTGTCCCCCAGCCCAGACGTAGATCCTGCCTGTGGAAGATCTACATGGAGCGTCCACGCCTGCCCCAGGCTCTCCTCCCAATTGCCACGAGCCCTTTAGTCCCTGCAATTGATCCCCAGTCTGGGGTCTAATTGCTGCCCGTCGCTGTGATCGCAGAAAAGGCTGCTGTCCGTGGGGGAGCTGAGAGAGGCCGCCGCCTTCCCAAGATAAAATGAAGGAGATTTTCTCTTTCCTCCTTTGAATGGTCTGCAGGCAGGAAACCAGCAATTACCCATCAAAGAGCCCGCTTTCTGGGGCTGGGACTGCAGCGGAGAACTGGCTCAGGAGCACGGTCTCCACGTCATTGTTCTGGGGCCGAGTCATTGTTCTGGGGCCGAGGCTGCCGGGGTGGCAGGTCCCGCCCCTGCTCTGCATCTGAGGCCATGAGCCCAGAAGCTGGCTGCGGCTGCAGCTGCCACCCCCACCTGCGGCGATTCCACCTGCACCAGGAAATAAAGGACGCAGTGACTGTGAGTCTGACTCCTGGCTCGTAGCTGGGATAGGAGGCCCTTAGCGGACAGGAGGGGGCTTGTGAGGACCCTGGGAGGGGTGAAGACAGTGCCCAGGGGAGCTGAGGGCAGCCACAGGGTGAGCGTCTCCCATCTCAGGTGGCAGAGCCCAGGGCTGAAGTGTGTTTCTGAGCAGTCACCACCACCCGTGAACAGGAGCCCAGGGGGAGCCTGCCCTGCCTGGGAGCCTCCTGGCTCCTTCCTTCACCCAGGAGCCGCACAGCACCAGAGCCGCCGGGTCAGGAGCTGAGCTGGGGCCAAGGTCTGCGGAGAGCTGCAGCAGCACTCCCGGGGCCCACCGCTCTCTGCAGCCTTCAGGGCAGGAGCCTGGGTTTGCAGAAGCTGTTTGCTAGGAGGCCTGCCTCCCCAGCAGACCCCAACCCCAACCCTCACCCTTCTCTCCAGGACAAGACCCAGTCCCGGGTGCCCCTGCCCGGGACCTTGTCAGCCCTCGGTCCATATAGGTCTTTGCCTCCCAGGTCCTCTGAATACCCCTTCTTCTCAGGGAGATGGTGGGGGACAGGTGCAGGTGAAATGAGCACATGGGCCACTGGGGACCAGGAGCAGGGCCCCGTTCCAAAGCAGCTATGGGACCCGCAGGAGCCACTCGCTGGGCCTGTTTACTCATCTGTGGGCAACAGCTGTGACATCCTTCCCATGGGGCATGGGGGTGCCCAGTGCTGCTCCAGTAGGGGAGAAACACCCCTAAAGTCATGGCCCAGCTGTCCAAGAGCTGCCTGCAAGGGGTGGGGAGCTGCTCAGACAGGTCCTGGCAGATGGAAAGGGACCCCTCCTGGACCCAGCAATCCCCCAAGTTCCCTTAGGCCCACAGAGACACCCCCTTCCATTCTGGAGGGCCTCCCCCACACCACTCAGGGGAGGCTGTGAGGTCACTCACTCATGGACACTGGCCCTGGGGGTTTGGGGTGAGGACACCCAGCTGCCCACAGGGGCGCTGGGCACCATGGGCATGATGCTCCGTCCAGGTGAAAGCTGATGCTGAGCCTGGCGCTCCAGGACCTGGGACCCAGGCCCTCGGTTTGGAGGCTGGTCCGCTTCCCATCCCAGCCTGCACACGGGTCTTGTCCCTGCCACCAGCCCTACACTGTCCATCAGGTTTCAGACCCCCGAGACTTCTGCTGCCCACTGGCTGTGTGCCCGTGGCGGGGACTTGGCTGCTCTGAGCCTCACACCCAGGTGCCCTCCAGCCTTGGTGGAGTCGTCCTGCCCCTTGCATACATGTGGTCACTTTATACAGATGATCCTCAAGGTCATCCCTGCCCTTGCTGAGCGTGTGGCAGATCCCTCCCCCATCTCCTGGTGGAAGGGTCCACAGAGGGAGAGTGACCGAGTGCGTGAAGGTCTCGTGCAGGGCGGCAGTGGAGTCAGCATCTGAAACTCCAAGGCTGGGCTCCAGCCACCACCCCGACACTCTCCACACCCGTAGGTGGGTCCTGGGACCAGGCCTCCCAGAAAGGAACGACTGAGTCCTGGGCTTGGAGCCCCTGCCGGCCTGTCGTTCACTTGTTCATCCTGACGTGTGCATGATGCCATCCTTCAGGACCCGCGTGCCCGAGCTTCCCACCCCAGCGTCTGGGAGCTGCCTTCTCAATATAAAGCGGATTTATCAGAGCACCTCCACGGGGTTATTTTGAAATAAAAGCAAGTGCACCCAGCCCCCAAGAACCCCAGCAGGCACACCTCTAACTGTCCTCCACCCACACAGGTGGAGACGGAACCTCAGAGAGGTGAAGCAGCTAGCCCAGAATCACACAGTGAGAAGAGCCAGAGTCGGGGGTCTACGCCAACTATGTGTGAGCCCCGAACCCCAGACTTGTTCACTTGTCCAGTCATCTGTCTGCTGAGTCTTGCTTCCACCAGCGGGCCCCACCAAGTGCTCATGACTATCAGCCTTGCCTGGCACCCAGCAGTGCTCCCCGCACAGCGTTACCTCTGAACTGGCCTCGAGCTGGACCAGAGAGCTCGGGACCCGCAGCACAGGATGACAACACGCTTTACTCTTCACCGAAAAAGACTACCCCGGGGGTCCTGAAGGCGCCGGGGTCTCCATGCCCTTCTTCCGTCTCAGCCCGTAAGTGGCGTCTACACATCTGAGCACAGAGGCTGCCCACCACCCTGCAGGCACTGTCCACAGGTCATCAAGACCACACCCGGCATGCCCCTACCCCAGCCCTAGGAAGGGTGATGCCTGAATTAAAATTCCATTAACAATGGCATTCTTCTGGAATATTTCCCAATCTATAGAGAGCTACTGTTGGCTGGCGGGGCCACAGGGGCGGCAGGGGCAGCAGGCCCGTGGGGGAACGGCTCCCCCTTGCCAGAGTGAGAAGTAAAGAGCCTGGCGGTGGGCTTGGCTTCTTCCATGGTTCTCCGGAAGCCCACAGGTTTTCCAGGCACCCGCTGAGGCAGACGCGGCACGGACTTGGGCAGAGGAGCAAGGACAGGGGGACAGTGACCAGTGGCCGTCTGGGCCCCAGTAACCCATCACACCCCTTCTGCCCTCCGCTGCCTCCCATCTACCCCACCTAGACGCACCTTCCTCCCAGTGTTTGGCTGACCTATGAGAACTGGAAGCTGAAGGACAGCCCTGATTCCGCGGGGCTCCCAAGGTGGGTGCAGATTCCTCCCAGGAGCTCCCCATAACCTCCCCGTGTGGCCCTTGTGCCTGACCAGGGTGGTGAAGCCAGCTGGTCATGGCACCACAGTAATAACACTAGTGGTGGCACCGGCAGTGTGCATGGCATGGGGGGATTTGGTTTGGGCCTTGCTGACAGAGCAACTGCTGGCAATGCAGAAATTGGAGACACGGTGACCCGAGTGTTTCCGGGCGCAGGCCGTGCAATGTCCAATGAATGCACAAAAGGGGGGCCCAGCCTGTGATCCGAAATCCTGTTTCTCCGAGAAGACCTTCTACCGGATCTGGGGCCACAGCAGGTCACCATCCACAGAACCACAGGGCCGAGGGGCGCTCATCACTGATTTATCCCTTGGCATCTCCCGGATCTGAAGATAAACACTTTTAAAAATAGGGATGAGTCAAGAATTTTCTTTCCCCTCAAGCGAAGTCTCCTGGACAGATGGCGAGATCTCTGTGATGGATTAGACGCTCTGGCAGCTCCTCCCCGGCTCCTCACAGCCCAGCGAGATTCATCTTCTCCCGGCATTATTTCTTTCTTCTAAAGGTTATTTTTAGTGTTCTTGGAAAGATCTGACTGCAGACACGAGCACTGCGCGGGCCCCAATCTGCTAGGCTGCTCTGTGTCTAGACCTAGCCCTGCAAGGGGCAACAGGGGCGCACCGGCCATGAGCCACTCCTTACATTCAAATCAAAGTAGCGAGGAACGAGACCGAAACTTCCTTCTCCCGCCACACCCTCCACGGGCCAGACGCACAGCCGCCTCACGTGGCCAGCAGCTACCCTGTCAGATGACCCAGAAAGAGAGCATTCCTCAGCTCAGAAGTTTCCATCAGAGGGCTTTCATGGACAGGACACAGGACGCCAGGCCTCCTGCAGACTGAGGGTGCGTCCTGGCCCACTTGTCCACAGCCTCGGGGCTTTCCAGGGTGCGGAGAGAAGAGCAGAGTCTGGCCTGCCTACCGTGGGCACTTCCCCCGGTCTCTGCAAACCTCCCCAAGCCTGTGCTTCTGCGGCCACAGGCCTTCCTTTCCAGCAGGACACCCTACGAGAAGCCAGTGTTCACCATGATATTAAGGGCAGGAGGGGCGAAACACATCAGCCAAACATGATTAATGCATTTGCCCTTTTAATGAGGGCTCTGGTGTCTTAAACCAGGGTGAGACTCTTGGGAACGGGAAGTCATTCCAGGCACCAATAGGATAAATGGGATTTGGGGAACCTCTTCTCCACCTGCAGATCAACGCGCCTGGGTTCTGAGCCGATTATCTGAGTGTGTCTTGTGTGTGTCAGTTGCTCAGCTCTCTCCGACTCTTTGCGACCCCATGAACCATAGCCCACCAGGCTTCTCTGTCCATGGGATTCTCCAGCAACAACATTGAAGTGGATTGTCATTCCCTCCTCCAGGGGATCTTCCTGACCCAAGGATCAAAACCAGGTCTCCTATGTTGCAGGCAGATTCTTTACCATCTGAGCCACCAGGCAAGCACATGCAGTGTCACCCCAAACGTCTCCTGCCCAGACTGTGTTCCAGGCTCCATACCCAATGCCAGGGTGTGGCAAAGAGACATGGGACATGGCCTCCGAACACAGAAGTGCAACCAGGCACTGGCCTGGGGTGGCAGGCT